CCCCCTGAGAACAGCCTCTCGCCAGCCTTTTTGGACCCCTGTGCTCTCTGTGTGTGCAGCCCCTGGCGCAAGGAGACCCCCTGCCGGCCGCAGGATCACAGCGAAATGATGGTCAGTGCCACGCCTGAGCCCACAGGCCCCCTGGGGGGCAGTGCAGCCCTGGCCGGGCGTGTGTGTCGGCAGGATCGCAGAATACTAGAAAGGAAAGGGATCTCGAGAGGCCGTCGCGTCCAGTCCCCTGCCCTCCCGGCAGGACCCAGCACCGTCCAGAGAGAATCCGAAAAATAGAACCCCAGGGCGGGCAAAGCCCTCAGGAGTTGCCAAATCCAGCCCCCTCCCCAAGGCAGGACCAACCCGAACTCAACCATCCCAGCCAAGCCGGGATTAAAACACCTCTAGGGATGGAGATTCCACCCCCTCCCTAGGGAACCCAGCCCAGCGCTTCCCCACCCGCCTCTGGAAATCATTTTTCCTCATCTCCAACCTAGACCTCCCCCGCTGCCGCATGAGACCAACGAGTTCTGCTGCCTGCCCCCCTGAGAACAGCCTCTCGCCAGCCTTTTTGGTGGAAATCATTTTTCCTCATCTCCAACCTAGACCTCCCCCGCTGCCGCATGAGACCAACGAGTTCTGCTGCCTGCCCCCCTGAGAACAGCCTCTCGCCAGCCTTTTTGGACCCCCCCTTCAGGGAGTTGAAGGCTGCTCTCAAATCCCCCCTTGCTCTTCTCTTCTGCAGACTAAACAGACCCAACTCCCTCAGCCTCTCCTCCTAGGTCGTGTGCTCCATTTTGGTCGCCCTCCGCTGGACCCTCTCCAATGCGTCCACCTCCTTTCTGTAGTGGGGGGCCCAGAACTGGACACAATACTCCAGACGTGGCCTCCTCAGAGCCGAATAAAGGGGAGACCATCGGCTGGCCATGCTCCTCCGAATGCACCCCAATATGCCGTGACCCCACGTCTTTCAGTCTTCCCTCCCGGCTCCTGTTCTCTAGACCTTTCCTCATTCTTCTTGCTCTTCTCCGGACCTTCTCCAGCGTCTCCACATCTGGCTCGAAATGCGGTGCCCGGAACCGGAGACACGACTGCAGCCGAGGCCTGCTCGGCGCGGAGCTGAGGAGAAGGATTTCTCGTGTCTGGCGCGCCACACTCCTGTTCCTGCAGAAGTGTGACAGCTCCCCACGTCCTCCGGGGGCTTGGCCAGGATTGGGGGGTCTCGGCACGCCTGGCGCGTCGCTCGGGGAGCTAAGGAGTCTGGCTTCCTGCTCCACGCCAGCCCCTCCTTGCATGGCTGTGTGGGACAATTTGTCTAGGGTCCAGAGTGACTTAGACAAATTGGAGGATTGGGCCACTAGAAATCTCATGAGATTCAACAAAGACAAGTGTAGAGTCCTGCACTTGGGACGGAAGAATCCCAAGCATAGTTACAGGCTGGGGACCAACCAGTTAAGTAGTAGTTCTGCAGAAAAGGACCTGGGGGTTACAGTGGATGAGAAGCTAGATATGAGTCAACAGTGTGCCCTTGTAGCCAAGAAGGCTAATGGCATATTAGGATGCATTAAGAGGAGCATTGCCAGCAGATCCAGAGATGTCATTATCCCCCTTTATTCGGCTTTGGTGAGGCCACATCTGGAGTACTGTGTCCAGTTCTGGGCCCCCCACTACAAAAAGGATGCGGACGCATTGGAGAGGGTCCAGCGGAGGGCAACCAAAATGATTAGGGGTCTGGAGCATATGACCTACGAGGAGAGGCTGAGGGAGTTGGGTCTGTTTAGTCTGCAGAAGCAAAGAGTGAGGGGGGACTTGATAGCAGCCTTCAACTTCCTGAAGGGAGGTTCCAAAGAGGATGGAGAGAGGCTGTTCTCAGTGGTGGCAGATGGCAGAACAAGCAGCAATGGTCTCAAGTTGTGGTGGGAGAGGTCCAGATTGGATATTAGGAAAAACTATTTTACTAGGAGGGTGGTGAAGCACTGGAATGGGTTACCTAGGGAAGTAGTGGAGTCTCCATCCCTAGAGGTGTTTAAGTCTCGGCTTGACAAAGCCCTGGCCGGGTTGATTTAGATGGGATTGGTCCTGCCTAGAGCGGAGGGCTGGACTTGACGACCTTCTGAGGTCTCTTCCAGTTCTGATTCTATGATAAGGGGATGGTTGGATGAAATAACATGATCTTGGTAACTAATTGACCATTCATTTCCAGTTGGAAATAGGTCAATGGAGGGATGATAGGAGTTGCTATAGGGAACTTTCTGGGTGTCTGGCTGGTGAGTCTTGCCCACATGCTCAGGGTTTAGCTGATCGCCATATTTGGGGTCAGGAAGGAATTTTCCTCCAGGGTAGATTGGCAGAGGCCCTGGAGGTTTTTCGCCTTCCTCTGTAGCATTGGGCACAGATCACAGCTGAAGGACTCTCTGCATGTTGGGGCCTTCAAAGTATTGGAAGGCTTCAATATCTGAGACATAGGTGAGAGGATTATTCTAAGAGGGGTGGGCGAGATTCTGTGGCCTGCACTGTGCAGGGGGTCAGACTAGATGATCATAATGGTCCCTTCTGACCTTAAAGTCTATGAGTCTATGAGTCTATGAGCCAAATGGGGACGGGGGTCTGTCACAGGAGAGCTGACAGAGCCCTGGGAAAGGTGGGGAGGGCCCGGCTCCGTGCTCTGGGTAGAGCCGGGGCCTCGGCAGCAGGCCCCTCCCCTTTCCTCAGCCCTCAGCACTGCCCAGAGCGCGCGCCCGGCTCCAGCGGCGATTTAAAGGGGCCGCGCGTCACTGCTGGAGCTGGAGCTCCAGGTCTGGTAGAATTGCCGGGCCCCATTCGTCCCCCGGTCGCCAGGCCTGGCCAAGCTTGATCCCTGCCCCCCACGTGTGTGTGATGCTTCCCAGGGCTGGCAAGGAGGGAAAAGTCCTCCCCGCCATGCTCAGCCGGCCTCTCCCAAAGGGGGCGGGGCCTTGGGGAGAAGGGGCGGGGCCTTGGAGAGAAGGGGTGGTGCCTGGAGCTCCCCTGTGCTCAGGTCCCCAGAGAGCGGGGGGCTGGACCCAATGGCTCAGCCAGCCATGTCCGAAGCATGAAGACTGTCCAGGCGGGTGTGAGGAGCGCTGGGGCTGGGAATGGCTGGGGACGTACGACCAGGGCTGCTGATGTGGGGGGCAAATGGGGCAGCGGAGCTGAGACCCACCGATTGAAAAGGGACGCCCGGCTGCATCGCCTGCCCTGGCCCTTTAAATCTCCACCGGAGCCCTGCAGGGGCCACTCCGGCCCCCCTACCAGGCTGGCTGTGTCACTGTGGGGCAGCCCCGCACGGCCTGGGATAATCCGCCTCCACCGCCGCTTGGGAATGGGGGTGGAGAATACCCACCTCGCCAGCGCAGAGGCCAGCGAATTGGCTCAGGGCCGAACAACTACAGCACCACATGTACGGGGCCGTCAACGGTATCTCTGCCCTCAAACGGACCCTGCACCGGGAGAGAGTGGGAAGGTGGCACGGCGAGTCCGGGCGTGGGCCGGCCGCCGAGCCGGGCTGAAGGAGAGCAGAGAAAGTACAATATTTTAGTCACGGAAAACAGGGCCCATGACTGTTGAGGAAGGGCAAAAATCCCAGGGAAGCGAGGGAAGATTTGATTCTTTAATTTGTGGTTTTGTCAACCGGGGGCGATGAAGAGTTGTGTGTACGGTTCACTCCTGAGTAGACCTGGGGAGGCCGGTGGGGTATTATCTGATGGGCCAAGAGGCCCAGTGCTGTGAAAGGCGACTGTTTCCTGTTTATTTTAATTCGTTCGCTTCTTTGGATTAGGAGGGACATCGGGTCGTAGGCGCTTTGAAAATGGTGACCTTCCACCTTCTGTTTACATCTGGGTAGGGCGCTGGATGACGCGACCTCCAGACGTCTCTTCCCTTCCCAGGACTCTATGGCTACGTCTACACAGCCAGTTTGTTCGGCAGAAAATATGCTAATGAAGGACTCATTTGCATGAGCCGCAATCACATTTGCATATTGTCTGCCGAAAAAACTGGCCGTGTAGACGTGGCCTGCGGTTCTCTGCCTTTATGTACCAGTATTTATGTCTGTATCGGTATCAGTATCGACAGAGCTAGGGCTGCCTTAATCTTGCTGGAGCCGGCAAAGGCGAAACGTTTCATGACAGGACGCAGAGGCATGTTTTGTTTTCCCAGCTACCAATCTGTGTCCTTCAAATCCGCTGCTTGCCGAGGGGATGACAGTTTTCGTCAGCTTGACAGAGGCATATTGGAAAGCGGAGGGTTCGAATGAATGGAGAATGAAGCTCATTGGCCTTATTGGGAGTGGAAGAGACCTCCCCACCCCATAAACCGCGCAGAAGATGTGAAGCTGCTTGCGGAAGTTGGGCACCCGTGTTCGGGTCTGGCGGAATGAAGCCGAGGGCTTCACTGAAACGCGAAAAGTGAGTCTCTTAAAGCATCAAGCTTCGTATAAAGAAATGTGTTAAATGTATAAAAGATGAATATTAGAAAGAAAGAAAGAAAGAAAGAAAGAAAGAAAGAAAGAAAGAAAGAAAGAAAGAAGTGTTAAATGTATAAAAGATGAATATTCGAAAGAAAGAAAGAAAGAAAGAAAGAAAGAAAGAAAGAAAGAAAGAAAGAAGTGTTAAATGTATAAAAGATGAATATTAGAAAGAAAGAAAGAAAGAAAGAAAGAAAGAAAGAAAGAAAGAAAGAAAGAAAGAAGTGTTAAATGTATAAAAGATGAATATTAGAAAGAAAGAAAGAAAGAAAGAAAGAAAGAAAGAAAGAAAGAAAGAAAGAAAGAAGTGTTAAATGTATAAAAGATGAATATTAGAAAGAAAGAAAGAAAGAAAGAAAGAAAGAAAGAAAGAAAGAAAGAAAGAAAGAAATGTTAAATGTATAAAAGATGAATATTAGAAAGAAAGTTAGTTAGTTAGTTAGTTAGTTTCAGGGACTCAAATGGTCGGAGCCTAGGAGACTGTATCAATTCATCGCTGTTTCACGATATGCTAATGTTTGTCCTTTCAGAGTTTGTGCCTGTTTCTAAAGGCAGCCAGTTTAAAAAGAGCTTTTTGCAGGGACTCTTGGACCTCCTTGTTCCTCAGGCAGTAGATGATGGGGTTGATCAGGGGAGTCAGGACTATGTAGAAGACGGACAATATTTTGTGTAGGACCGTGGGCGCGTTGCCCGTTGGAACCACGTAGACAGTGATCACGGCCCCGTAGAAAACGCTCAGCACGATGAGGTGGGAGGAGCAGGTGGAAAAGGCCTTTTTCCGCCCGGTGGAGGAGGGGATGCGCAGGACGGTGGAGATGATACACACGTAGGATGTTAGCGTCAGGACACAGGGCACAAGCGCCCCTAGGGCAGCGATCGTCAACGTCACCAGTTCCAGAGTCCGGGTGTCGCTGCAGGAGAGCTTTATCAACGGAGTGAAATCGCAGAAGAAATGGTCCATTTCTTTGGCATCACAGAACGTCAGTTGCCACAAGAAAACGTCGGTTAGGGTGCAGTTTAGAAAGCTGCAGAGCCAAGACCCGGCCACGAGCCGGCCACACACCCGGCCGTTCATCAGAGCTGCGTAGCGGAGGGGATGGCAGATGGCGACGTACCGGTCGTAGGACATGGCCGCCAGCAGCAGAGCCTCGGTTGCGGACATGACGGCAAAGAAATATAATTGTACGAAGCAACCCTTCACGGAGACGCTCCTGTCCCCGGTCCAGAGGCTGGCCAGCAGCCGGGGCAGGAAGGCAGAGGTGTAACAGATCTCCAGGAAGGACAAGTTCCCCAGTAAGTAGTACATGGGGGTGCGTAGGTTGTGATCGACCACCACAAGCGCGATGATGAGGGTGTTCCCGGCCACGGTCACATTATAGATGAGTAGAAACAGCAGAAAAAGGAGGGGCTGTAGTTTCGGGTCGTTCCCGAACCCCAGGAGGATGAATTCGGAGATGAGGGAGTGATTTCTTCCTTCCGCTTGCTCCATGCTCCGTATCTAGAAACAGAAATCCAGGGAGTGTTGAAGGCAGGGGCAGAAACATGGAGGAGGTCTGTCTACAGCCCTGTCTGTCTCTCCACTGGAATTAGGACGTTCTCAATCATCGAATTCATGCTTAAATTCGACACTTTACACGTCTCTCCTCTGGAATTAGGACGTTTTCAATTCGACACTTTACACTCAAATTTGAATAAAGATGCTAATTATCTTACCCATTACAAAGATAGCTTCCCCAATTATCACCTCTAATATCATTAGCTCACAGACATCTACCCTTCCCCACCTCTAATATCATTAGCTCACAGACATCTACCCTTCCCCACCTCTAATATCATTAGCTCACAGACAT